GCGTTAACAAATCGGCCTTCGACGTCGCTAAAACAATCGTGAAACTAATCACGTTCGAAAACAAAGCGAAGCCACAGTAATTGGTCGCCCCGTAGCAAAGATACTGAACAGTAGTCCGGTATCGAAACCAAAATAGCGAAATAAAATTACTGTTTGCGTTAACAAATCGGCCTTCGACGTCGCTAAAACAATCGTGAAACTAATCACGTTCGAAAACAAAGCAAAGCCACAGTAATTGGTCGCTCCAAATCAAATATACTCGACAGTGGCCCGGTATCGAAGCCAAAAAAACGAAATAAAATTACTGTTGAAGCGACTTATGGCATCGACCCAATGGAACACCGTCCACCAATAAGATTGCCGGCGAGAATTCGCGTTCGTCCGATGGCAGAAAATCTGCGGGACGTCGCGAGCGTTCGCGGCGACGCAGTGTTTCGTGTTTCTCCGTTCGACCGACACGATTTCGCGTACGATTTAGCGACGCGGCGGTCGTTCGCCGTTTTGTCCGGGTGCGCGCGAAGGTGGCACGTGGTCTGCGGCAAACATGAGCCTCCGAAGTTCATTAGCACCGCCACGCGCCAATGGCCAGGGCCGTTGCACGCTGGCGCCGAACGGGCCGAAGAAAGAGACCGCGGCGCGGCGTGGCGCGATGCGATGCGGCGGCGGCGGCGGCTCTCCCGCCGTGTAAGAAAGAATTCTTTCCGCCGCGCCGTTTGCACGTGACCGAGTTCGTCGGAATTCGCGCTCATCAAATTCCTTCTTCGCGGGGAAATATTACGCCGTCGTTGCCGCCACTCGTCGTCGCCCTCCGCGCCCACTTTTTTTGAATGTCGAGCACGGCGACGTTACGGGAGAAATACATAGCTGGTTCTGGTTCGGTTTCTTGGTTGTTCTCTATTGCACGATTCGGCGCTCGGTTCCTTTGTTCGCTTTTTAAAGACTTGTTCGGGGCTTTTGTTCCTTGTATTTGCGAGGCGAGTCGATTGATTGTTTTAAGAATTGCTGTATTTAGTGACAGAATGACGAGCAATAATATTAACTGTGTGTCTCTGTCAGTTTGTATTCTCACGTTCTCTTCTCTCCCTCTTTTCTCTTTCTCTTCTTTTTGTCTCTCCTTCTCTCTCTCTCTTTGTTGGTTCACTCTATTTAACTCTATTCACTGCACAAATGCACAGCATTATCGAGAGATAAATTGCATCATCGAAAATGTGAT